AATATATGGTGACAAAAGGAGAAGTGACTGTGTGGTAAACACAACGTGATATATAGATGATGTATTACAGAACTGTACACTTGAAACTTATGTAATTTTATTAACCAATGTCACCTCAATAAATTTTATAATAAACAAATAAAATCATTAATTAGTAAAAAGAAATGAAACCAATGATAAAATAAACTATTAAATACACAAAATTAGGAAAATTAGCTATATGTAATTGTTGGGAGTAGAAATAATCCCTGCGTTACATTAAAAAAATTCTAGATAATTCAAAATAATAGGTAAAAAATAAAAACCATATAGCATATTAGACACAAAATCAAGGAGCCATGGAATGTGTGTGTGTGTGTGTGTGTGTGTGTGTGTGTGTGTGTGTGGTGGGGGAGGGGGTAACTCTCATTACATTTTAAAAAGAGGGTGATTGAAAATACCAGCAAACTGACAATGGATGGACTGGAAAATACTTCCAACATATGTGACAAAATCAGTGCTACTAGTGAAGGGAAATCTCATATGAATTGATGAAAAAGGGACAATCTAGTGAAACTAGACAAAAGCTATAAAGAGGTACTATCAGAAAGAGGAATATAAGCGTCAAATAAATATATGAAAGATGTTCCACAACATTAATAATTAAGGAAATGCAAATTAAAATGATATACAGTTGATTCTTGTTCTTCACGGTACTTACGTTCCACAAAGTTGCCACTAACGCTGACCCTCACTCCTAAGGGAAATGCACGGCCGGGCTTCTGTTAACCTCCAGTCCCAGCATTTCGATCCACAAATCAATCCACAGCCGTGTTTCATGGTGTTTATGTTTAAAGACGCCTTATTAATAAATATTGTTGATGAACTCGCCAACGCTGAACTTGCAACAAACAGGTGATTCATGCTGACTGAAGCTGATCTCAGGAGTGCGGATTTTCCCAGGGAGGCACATCGGAGCCTTTCGGGCTCAGGACAGGGGACATGGGACATGGGACATGGGACGGCACTGCAGATCTACATCGGGGCCACTGTAAACGGAAATCCCAACAAGCACAAAACTGCAGAGAGGGCGGCACTCAGTGGGCTGCGCAGCCCCGTGTCCTGGCAGCGTGGGAACGTGGGCCCAGGGCTACCTGCTCGCCTTCCCGGGGCTCACGCAGGTTTTTCAGGCTCTGGGCACGTCCGGGAACCACCCGGAACGCACCAGGAGTACTGATGGGGCGTGAACAATCGAAATTTGTGAGGCGGCCAGTTCACAAATATGGAAGCCAGGGGTACTGAGGGTCCTTTTAAACCACCTGATGAGCAAAGACTGAAAGCGAGACACGCCCACTGCTGCCCTGGGGAAACGGATTTGAAGGGGAATTCAGTGTGGAATTTGACACGATACACAAAAGTCAAACTGCGCATGCCTTTGGCTAGGTGACTCCGCGTCCACATGTAGCCTAAGCAAATGTCCATGTGCATGAAAACACAGATGTAAGAGGGCTTATAGCAGGACCGTCTCTCATAGGAACATTTTATGAGCAACATAAATGTCAGCTCCAAAGAACATGAAATGAGCCACTGCACATCCACACTGCGGTGCATACTAATTCCCAGGGAACGTATTTGACCCACACATACTCCAAAACAACATCCCACATACACCATCAAGAAAGGCACGCTGAAGAAAAATATGTATGGTTTATGATAATAAGCCCGACTTGTGTTAATATTTAAAAGTCTGCATATATATATATATATATATATATATATAAACTCATATAAATGTTATGTTTATAGTTATGAAGGAAACACAAGAATTAGCTTTTCTTGCCTCAAGAATTGGGGAGCTCTGATGAAGAATTTTACTACTTTTAGGCATGCTATTTATTTTTACTACTTTTAGGTACTATATTGTTTTGTTCCATAATAATAATGGTAAAAGTAATCTTAGCTATTAAAAAAAAGCATATGTTACAAAAAGGAAAAGTCATAAAAAAATAAAACACTAGCTTTGTACTTGAATCAGACTTATGATTCAATATGTTGTATTATGCATAATACACTTTTAAATATTGTTTCTCTCCCTCTTCTCCAGAATTTGTGTTCTAAAAGCCATAAAGTTGCAGATAAAAAATTATTTTCATTACTGACAAAAAACTCCATGCCATATTGCACACACAAGTAATGCTGTATCTACACAATGTTTAAATCAATTATTCTATAATTGTTATCATATTAAAACTTCATCTAGGAGTTTATAGTCATATATGCCAAGTTCAAAGCATATATTTAATTTTTTTTAATTGGGCAACAGTGTGTTTTTCCAGGACCCATCAGTTCCAAATCAAGTAGTTGTTTCAATCTAGTTGTGGGGAATGCAGCTCCCTGGCCCATGTGGGGATCGAACCGGCAACCTTGGTGTGATGAGCCTGAGCTGTAACCACCTGAGCTAACTGGCCGCCCCAAGCATATATTTAATTTTATATCATTATATTCTCAGTGAGAAAGCAGTAAGCAGAGCATTTTGAGGTGCTGCTCTATGTTTAGCAAGCAAAGTGGGAGGAACACAATATTAAAACAGTACCATTTTACTTTAATTCAATTAATTGACTTGGTGGCTTAGTGTCTTAAGAGGAAATAAATAATGGCCCACCTTGATTTGCTTCATCATGACAGTAATGAAAAACATACAGGTATTTTTTTTACCCTCATAAAAAATGATGTTTTCTGTTTCACCTGTTTCTTTTTTATTAGGAGTTAGCAGAGAAAGAGGCATAAAAAAGTTTTAAATCAAGGTGGCTTAATCAAATGAATAATGTGTTTAATTATCTGAAACCTAAACTAAATATTTTTGTTAAAAAATAACTAAGAATTTAGTCTCCTTTTGATATATGGAACGCCACTCTCTAAACCCTCTAACCAGAAAAGTAAAACAAAGAAGTTCTTAAATATTAAATATTCTGATAATAAAGCCCATGCACCATCTGTGAAGAAAGCCCGCACACCATCTTCACAGCCTTGAATATGCAGATATAAGCCGATAAAACAATAGAAATAATTATTCTAGCCTGTCTTATGATGTGTGTGTGTGTGTGGAGGGGGTATGGCATGTATTAGAGAGGTGTGAGGGACACAGAGAGACAGAGCAAGGGAGACAATAAAAGGGAGAAGGCAAACAGTAAGTGCAAAGGAGATAAAAATAAAAGCAAATGGCAGAGCAAAATGGTTCCTCTCTGGGATTCAGATTTCTGAATTTAAGTGCATGATAGATCTGAATCAATATAAAATTGAACCATCCAGCCTCTTTTCACTCCCCAGCGCACTGACCATCTCTTCATGTAAACAGCTGGTATGTTTTGAGTTGGAAACAATTACTTGACATTTAACATTGCTTTGTATTGTTAAGAATCTTATTGTATATCACTAAGCTAAACTGTGATCTTTAAGGCAGTTCTGATTTTAAATCATCCCTTGTATAATATTATAGCACAGTCATAAAATATGAGGTCTGAAACTTAAGTTCACGAACTTGCCGCCGTGCGCTTACATTGGCAGCACTGTACAAACAGCTCATAAGGCTTCATAACCTTGGTACATCAGTATCTCACAGCTGTGCTCATGTCTACGTGTGGCGGTGTCTTGCTGAGTGGCGCTCATTATTGTTGTTGCGTGTTTTTGTGTGCCATCATGAGGATGTCTGAGCTTCAATTAGAGTAACAAACAAACATTAAGTTTCTTGTTAAACTTGGCAAGAGTGGAGGTGAAATCAGGGACATGTTAGTCCAAGTTTATGGGGATAATGCCATGAAGAAAACAGCAGCGTACAAATGGATTAAACATTTTTCTGAGGGGAGAGAATGTGTCACTAATGAAGAGAGGTCAGGGCAGCCAGTAATGAGCAGAACTGACAAAAACATTGCAAAAATTCATTGAATTGTGCGTCAAAATCATCAGCTTACTGTGAGAAGCATAGCAGACCAAGTGACCATTGATAAACAGTTAGGAAAATCCTATCTGAAAATCTTGGCATGAGAAAGGTGTGTGCAAAAATGGTCCCAGAGGAGCTCACCAATGAACAAAAGCAAAGGAGAGTTGAAGTTTTCCAAGACCTTTTGGAGAGGCAAGATGATGTTTTGGGACATGTTATCACTGGTGAGAAACATGGGTGGACCAATACAACCCTGAAACAAAGCGTCAAAATGCACAATGGAAGTCAGTCAATTCTCCACGACCAAAAAAGTTTCATCAGTCCAAATCAAGTGTCAAAACAACGTTGCTAATCTTTTTTGATATCAGAGGGATTATTTATTATGAATTTGTACCAACTGGACAAACAGTTATTAACCAAGTTTACTATTTGGAAGTGCTGAAAAGGCTGCGTGAAAAAGTTAGACAAAAACGACCTGAACTGTTCGCCAACAATTCAGGTTTCCTGCATCACAACAATGCACAAGCTCACATGGCACTGCCTGTGAGGGAGTTTTTAGCCAGTAAACAGATAACTGTATTGGAACACCCTCCCAACTCACCTGATCTGGCCCCCAATGACTTCTTTCTTTACCTGAAAATAAAGGAAATATTGAAAGGAAGACGTTTGGATGACATTCAGGACATCAAGGAAAATATGATGACAGCTCTGATGACCATTACAGAAAGAGTTCCAAAATTGCTTTGAAGGGTGGACTAGGCACTGGCGTCGGTGCATAGCTTCCCAAGAGGAGGACTTCGAAGGTGACTGTAGTGATATTCAGCAATGAGGTATGTAGCATTTTTTCTAGGATGAGTTCGCAAACTTAACAGTCAGACCTCATATTATGTCCAGTCCACAGATGACAGAATCTACCCTTTGATCATGTCCACCAAAATAAACATGTAGTTTATAGCTTGAGACCGTTATTATTGTTACTATAACATTATTGCTATGATTCCTTAAACCTATGACTACCTGATTGGACCCTCTTCTCCATTCAGTTGATCATTTCTTCAGCTAACTCCATTACATACTGGGCCAGTCATAATCTGGAGGATAAAATATTCTCCTTGCTGTTCCCTGAACAATCAATGTGCACTCCAGCATGCTCACTGGTATTTAGTTTCTTCCCCGAATTTTCGTTATCTTCCTCTCTCCCATCGATGTATCCACATCTGATGTCTTGAGGCCCAGAAAAAGTCACACTCATTTCACAGCACTCATTTGATGTCATGATTCCTTTTCTTACATAATTTCCTAATTTTCAGCCAACATATAATTAAATAGTAAACTATTAAATGTTTACAGAGAAAGTGCAATTCCTTCTCCAAGAGATCAATGTAACCCTTACAAACACCCTTCCAGTAGATGCAAAGCCGAAAATAGATGGATATATGATCACAAATGTATGTCCTCCAAGCAGACCAAGAAAGTAATAGGGAAGAGCTCCAGTATTCCTGTGGAATAAACCTTGAAAATTTTAACTCAAATTTAACTTCTAATATATGATAACTATCAGCAATTTCCGTGGGATTTTATATGTGCAAGGGTATTTTGAAAATAAAGGATGTCAGTTTTGTCTTGCATGTTATAAAGCATTTCATCCTTTTCTTTGAGACTGTGGAATGGTTTCTAAACCGAGATTTCAATCCAATAGCCTTAAGTCATTAGGATATCCATTCCAAGAAAAGAGAATCTCTGTAATGCCTACGCTTAATATAAAGACTGAATATAATGAATTCTATACACTTGGAAAAGATGGCCACTGTGAACTTGCTCAGTAGATTTACTGATAATCTTGTCTGCAAATATCTCTAGGTCATTTTCTATTAAATCTTGGGGGATGTTATCTGACACAGTCGATTGAGGCTAATTTTGATTACAGGTTTGTCCTTTTGCTTTTTCTTTGAGATGCACTAAATTCCACTTTCTCCTCCGTGTGCTAACAGACACCACTCGGCCTGCTCCAGGGCGCTGGTTATGCGAGGGAAATACAGAACTCAGCTCTAAGCTATTTTAAGAAATACTTTGTCAGGGGATTTTTAAAGAGCATTAATTTTTTTAAAAGAGCTGAATTTATGTTTCTGCTATTTCTTATAAATATATGATGTTCTTATAAAAGTACTATTCAAAAATGTTCTAAAGCTTACCCTATACCTTCTTTATGCACATATTCTTATTCCTGAATGTGCTTTGAAATTCTTTTTGAGAAGATTTCTAAATCTTAAGAATATAAGAAGAATCATGAAAAGTATATTCATTTTATGTCCTAATTTGGAAATTTTTACTTTTTTAAGAACAGCTCAGAAAATCTTGCATTTTTGTCAGTTCTATGACTCAGGGTAGCACTGGCTAGTTGCTATAACAAACAAATCAACATCTTGGTTGCTTCATTCAACAGACGTGTTTATTTGACAGCTGCACAAAGTCTAACGCAGATGTTCTGGCTGAGCTATTCTCTGGGCAGACCCATCCAGGGAGAGGGTCCTGAGGTCCAGGTTCCCCCATCGCGTGACTGCTGTCTTGGAGCATGTCACTTGGGACAGTGAGGAAGATGGTGGAAGACCACATTTTTCATGGCCAGCCCATAATAGTTTCCCTCTATTCTATTAACCACAGCCAGTTACACGGCTGCAACCTAAGTGCCAGAGGGGCTGGGGAATCCAACTGTTCTCTGCACAGGAAAGGAAGCCTCTAGGGGGCCATGCAGGCTCACCACTCTGGAACACGGCAGACGTAAACACAGGCAGTGACAACAAAATCCTCAACCATAGTTTCTTTTACTACAAATGTCCTACCGGGATCTTGGTTCAAGGAGTCAGATGTTTAAATGTAGTATTTTTCTTATTTGTGCATAAGTCTGTCAATAGAAGTGACTTTATCAAATTACTTATGAGACACATTTTACTCAATTACATGCTTTCCTAAAAAAATGAGTAACAGTCAACATTTAACTATCAGCCAAAACGCAATATCAGAAATACTCTAGAAAAACACTATGGCACAATATTTTACATAGTGGATATAACGGCCATGTATACATTGATGGATAGGGTGCAGTATTTCCTGTATTCTGATTTTCTTTTTCATGAATTATTTTGCAACGTATCAGTACTTTGGAGGGGGTTAGCTTTGCCAAATAATATAAGTAACCAAAAGATAAAAATACTATACTATAAAAGCACAGTTAGAATTATCAGAAGCTGTAACACTGAATTAATAAGATGCAAACTACTGTAGTTTCTAACAATTAAGCAAGGTTTTACGATAAAATTTTTAAAGCATCAGGAAATACAATGTAACTATAGGTTTATAAAATTATATTTCAGTATACATAGATTTGGAGCCTCTCTAAAATACTGAAACATAGGATTTACAGAGAAACTAAAATTTTATGTAAGCTAATTCTAAAATAAGTTTAAGAAATACAAAACTTTCATTAATCTTTGGGTTGGTTTAAACTTGACATCAGATTAATATTACATTTTCTGCTAAACCAGCAAGGCATCGTGGTATGGTTCGGTAATTTCCTATGAACCAAAAATTTATAATAATTCCCTTTTATTTACAGGTAATTACAATTTTGAAGCACACAAAGCATTTTCTAAGTGAGATAATACAATATCTATAACATTATATGACCTGTCATCCAAATTTTTTGCTGAAAATAAATTCATGATTAAAGTATCATATAATTACAAGATAGAAGAATCAAGACCTTTGAAGGTTAAGGACTAAAACTAAACTAATTGATATCAAAATGTCTCACATCTATGAATTAGGAGATGCCTCAATACTCTGCTTGTGATGACACCTTAAAACCAGAATTCTGCCTGGCTGCATTTCAAATCATGTTACCTGCAGTCAAGGTCAACTGTCTGTTTCAATATCACCTTTGTGGTCGGTGGCTTCCCCTAAACCCACTGAGCTGATACTTGGATAATTCTGGGTCACCACAAGTATTACTGGTCATTAATCATCACCTTCAGAGAAGCCTGGTTTCCAATAACACTTCCTTTTTTCTTGAGAGAAAAATACCAGCCAATATTTAAACCCATTAATTAAAAAATATGGAATATTCTGCCTTGCTTTATTATCAAGAGAATTCATCCGTCTACTTCTGCCTCAGATACTTGATACAGTTATATACTTTTTAAATGTATAACCCATCTACTATTGAAAAGAATCTGATATAAGGTAAACATGTAATCATAAGTAAAAATTGATTAAAATAGCAGACATGGAAAGTAGGGAGAGAAAGGAAGAAATAAAAACGTGAGTTTATCTTGGTAAACAACGCTACCACAATTAAAGGCAATGCTGCTGACATTGTTCTTTCTGGGAATCTAGGAAAAGTGGAAAATATCTTGGATTGCACTGTTCTCAAAAAATTAAAAATAGAACTACCTGATGATCCAGCAATTCCACTTCGGAATATTTATTCAAAGAAATTAAAAACTCTAACTTGAAAAGATGTCTGCACCCCTACGTTCATTGCAGTGTTATTTACAATAGTCAATATACGAAAACACACCCATGTTAAATGCACAGATCTCATGGGTTGTAGTGAATGTTTGATGAGAGGAAACATGTAAAGTATGTAGACTGATGCGTAGCATTCTTGTATAATGAATGTTTCAAGATTTTAAAGTGACGGAATCAGCGTAGGACGTAAGGCAGTACATTTCAGAGCCTGCCCAGACGTCGCATCTACACAACCGTGACATCATAAATGAGCATTGTTTTAAGCTGTGAAATTTATGGGCATCTGTTATGTGGCAAAATAAAACTACCACAAGCATGTAGCAAGCCCTTCCAACTTCAGTCGAGTTTGAATACATGCTTCTTAACAGGCTAGATTTAGTAATATCTCAGCCGAGACGATTTGGCAACTACAGGTAACTCATATGGTATTTTATGATGTAAGTGGCCATAAAATCATTAGACTGATTTTTTAAAGGGCAGAGGAAAAACTGCTATCACAGAAAAAAAAAATCAAAGAATGTAGGAGACATAATAAAATTGCTTTGGGACTACTTCCTGAGAGTTGAACCTGTTCAACAAACGTGTTGTTTATTGTGTATTCAGTAATTATTTGTGCTTTCATTTTTATAGAAGCATCTAAAAACCCATAGTAATATTAGTTTTAGCATCTTTCTGCAAGAGAAATGTAAAATTATTATAGTTAAACATTTTAAACTAATTATGTCAAAATTTGTGAGATGATTTTCATCACTAGCAAATACTACTGCTCACAAGGAAGCATATGGTTGAGGGGCAAGCCAACGCACACAGACTCTCTGAATCACTGACTCCATGAGTTAGTGAGGATTACATCTATTAGAGCAGCAGTGGTTTCACGTGTCGTATGAGATAGAGCATTGGCAAATCGGAAATTGGTAATATGGCATTTGACATCTCACTGCTGCTCTTCTTAGAATAAGCTAAAATCTCCTCTGCCATCCACAGTATCCTAAAATGAAGTCTGCTCTCCAAAAATCCATAAATTAAAATGGTTTAATATTTTTGTTTACGAAAAAACTTACAGAAAAACCAAACTCAAGTGAAAACATTGACTTTGTTTTACACAACAAAAAAAACTTTAAAAAAGTTATAAGTGGCTAAATATATATTATCAAATTCTAATATCAAGGTCAACATTATTTTCTGATTAATGTTATCATTTCTTCATATATATTTATATGATACATGCTATTTTATAATATACCATATTTCACGCTTGTTTTTGCACTCATACAACCACTGTATGAGACGCATCCAGTTTTTAGACCCCAAATTTTTTGGAAAAGGGTGCATCTTATACATGGGGAAATATGGTAAACAATTTCTCAAAGTAAGAACTACTTTTAAATGTCTGCAAGATATTCAAAAACTTTGGCTGGTTTTATCATTAACAAAGTAGTTCTTTAATATAGTTTTCATTATCTAGTGGAATAAAATAATACACTGAGAAACAGTTATATGAAATATAACTTTTTCACTCAAAATTTGGTCCAAAAAAAACAAAACAAAAAAAATTTACTCAAATTAATTTTCTTTTTTTCTTTTAACATTATTAGTAATGATTAAAAAAAATCATAAGAGAAAAATACTTCTGTCATACCTCATTTTTAACTTGGAAATGTGTTATATATCAAAATTTTACCATAAAGCAAAAACAAAAAGGAAAAAGGAGACAAATCGTTCCTGAGTTTAAGCTCTTCAGATTAACACTGTTACCAAGGAGACACCTGTTTCTAACTTGCCTCATCACGGAGGAGAAATACTGATATGTTGGCAATTGGATCTTATCTATACTATTAATAAAAAATCTGGTTTCCTAGGCTTTTGAGTAAGAGAATCACTACTAGAGATGAGGGTTTGGACAGTCTTCCTGTTTAAAAACTAACAAAAAAACCTCTCAGATAGTTTGTACTGTAAAAAAACCAGTAAGCAGAAACGTAATTTAAAATGAAGCGGGGAGGCCAGCAGGGGGCGCGCTCAGGCCCCAGTGGGAGAGGAAGCACACCTGGAAAGACGCTTGTTTCTAAGAGCCCTCCGACTTCCTCTTCCCCTCTATAGAAGAGCCACCTCTCCTTGGTTTTACTCATGGCCTGCCGTGGTTGCGCGTTACGATTGCAATCCTTTGTTGTTCCCAAATAAACCCATTTTGATGGAGATATTTGGCTGGCTTTGTGTGTAAGGTCAATAGTACCAACCAATGTCACCTTCAAATTGGAATTTTCCTTTTGGAAAAGACAATTTAAATTCAGCTGTGCGTGGCTGAATGAAATATGATTAATAGCAGAGGTAATTCTTTTTTATATATATAAAAAGAATTCTTTCTCATTACAAAAGGAGTACAGTTGTTTTAATGGTAGGATGAGAATTTCAGATATCAATAAAATTTAAAAAGGTGGTATGCATAATTTTAATCTAAGAGACTTGAGTTATTACTTCGGCATCTAGACAAAAATATATTACCTTCATAAAAATAATAATCAGATAAACTATATTCCCAGTGGCGTTTATTGAAAATAAAGTATATTTATATTGGCTTAAACTTAATAATAACTCGGTTCTCATTTTTATTTAGATGCCCAAGGTAATGTCTGAGAAGTATGTACAAAGATTACAAAACAAGTTATTTCCTAGCTTCCCAAAGTTAACAACCTAAATGAGGAAATAAATCATCCTTCAAGTCCTTTTAAATAATGCAAAACTAATTAGTGCATATGTCTTCCCCTATGATTGTATATAGATAGCTTTATATATAATACTCCAGATAAAACTTTTAACATTTATGTAGTCCTTCATGTTTCTTGGATTCTGTTCTACCTATCCCCAGGTTCATATTTAGTAAATGCATTGCTCCCTTTAAATATTTACTATTGTTAATAAACTGGATCATTTAAATGATATCGACAATTTAATATGATTTAATGGGAGCAAATAGATAGTATGATCTGTATACTTGAGAAAAGATATAAACTTTAATTTACTTTTCCAGTAATACATTTTACAGTTCTAAAAAAAATCACCATATATAATAATCTCTGATAGATTACAAAGTGCAGGCAATGTAATCAACGTATGACTGAGGATTCTGTTGGAACATATTGATTTTACTTATTCTTTTTGTTTATTTTTAATGAGCCACTTCTAATACAAATAATTATTCCTAATACCAAAGTAATATAACAGCTAAAAACAACAATATCATCTTGGTAGCAAGATGAATTAGCGTGGGTTTTGCTCATGTTTCTGATTCTAGTTTAACATTTTTATTTATCTTCAACTTGATATTTTTAAGGAATAGTTTACTGTCCCTTGGGTCCTGCCCTGTGCTATTTTACAGAGATGGGTCCCAATTTCAGATGATGGAAGAAGTGGAATAAATGGAAACAAAATAAAGTAACAAGAAAATGCAAAATTAAAGATCATCATTGTTCATGTGTGAAGATGAATTTTTCTGCAGAATTAGCTTATTTTTTATTAAAATTATTTAGCTTTTAATTTTAATTTAATTTAATTTTTTTACTTTTTTGGAATAAAATAATTAGAATGTAGAAATAAAAGGACTCTGAAATGATATACAATATTTTACTTCCTTCTAAGTTGTGGCAAAACAAGCCAAATACAGTCCTCAAGAACATTTCCAGGGAGAGAACGTTGAACTAATTACGCACACAACATGTCAGTAGCTTTCTAACATCAGTGCCAATTCAGCAAAATATAGAATGAAATGTAAAATAAGAACGGCACACACAAAAACATAACCAAAGCTTCTACTACACATCTATTGGAATTTTATGTTGCCAGATGGCAAAGAAGATTCTAATACACGCTTGAAAGAAGCACTTTCATGTGTCAAATGCTGATTTACATAAAAGAGTCCACAGTGTATTTGCCTCACACCAGTTAACATAATTAGTCCAGGAAAAGAGAACTCCAGCGCTATCAGGTGGGAATGTTGTCATTTTAATTGGTGGTTAGTCATTATTTTTAAGTGATATTTACTTTGAGGAAGGGTTGAATGTGAATGTCACAGAAGGAAAGAAAATAAATCAGTGCTATTTCAAGTATATAACTTTTAAAACTGAATACATGAAGTTGAAATTAAGCCGAATGAGAGTTAAGCAGCTAGACTGTACATATTCTCTAACAGACACACACACACACACACACAAATGCTTGAGATTGAGGATCAGGGGATTCATTCACATCACACATGGATAATCATGGAAATCTTTCTAACTGAGTTTATTTAAAGCAAATCTCTCATCCACGCTCATTTCTCTGAGTCTCTTCCGTTATCCCTTATTCAATGTTTGACCTTTTTAATTTTATTGTACATAAAACTATACTTTTCTCTAATAACCTATTACGTTATGACTTATGAACCCCTACTCATTTATCCTTTATACTTAATTGCATATCCTATTTGAGTATTTATAATGTTTGATGGCCAAACGCAGGTGGCAGCATGCTTATCGTTTTCACATTCCTAGAGTTCTACTACTTTGGATAAGGGCTTAAGTACAAGCCACAGACCTTCACATACACTTGGTGCAGACGATACATTGGAGGATAGTACATCCCTGACCTGAACCAGAAACACAGAAGCGATAATTGTAGAGATGAAAAACCAAAATATATTCCAGGAAAGGCGGGAGTGTTGCTATTAACGGTGACTTGCAAATTAGAAGAAAGATTTTATTAATTTCAAATCTAAGCCTTTTGAAATATTGCTAATATATTCTAAAATAGCATAATTAAATCAGACAGAAGTTAAAACAAGGGCCATCTACAGATATGTTGTCTCTATAAGTAACACATACGCACCAGTATTCACTTGAGTGCCCCAGTTTGTCTGTGAAATATGTCCACTCTTGTAAAAAACTCAATAAATAAAGTGGTACAACTTTATTGAAAATCTAAAAAAGGTATGCGCTTACCAAACAGGTCCTTATCTTCAATGACTGCCATCTCAACCTCCTTTCCAGTAATTACTGTGCACGTGAAGGGAACCTGACGCAGCACGCTAATCTCGCCAAAGGACTGATTCTCATTAAGCTGACCCATATAAACGAGTTTTTGAATTTTCTTCTGTAAGAGATATAGATAACTGATGTTTAATTAAATCACTTACATATAATGGACAAATATTGTTATGGCCAGAAACAATAAATTTCATAAATCATTTGGGTATATGGTATTTAAAATAAATTGCAACTTCATGCAAATCAGAGACAGCATTTACTTATACATGTACTTAAATTATATTTCAACGATAGTAAGTTGACAACTTCCATGACTAAAGGCACCACGGTTTAGTGATGTGCAAATTAAGTTTTTTAATCCGCCGAGATGTTTAGGAAATATGGAACTCCTTCTATTTTTCAGTCCCAGGGTCCCGTTTTTTAAGCGCAGCTTAGCTGAGTATGCTCTGTGACCTCTGCCCCTTACAAGGCACACACACTTACTGAACTAACAGAGAATAAGAAAAATCAGCAGAGCGTGCCAGGAACAGAATTGATGGGATTAACGGGAAAGGTGGAATTTTACCCTAGTTCCCTGTTTAAAAAAGAAACATGGAAAGTGAGTTTGACTGAGGGAACTCACAATTTAGGTCCAAGCTAGGAATTCTGCGGAAAAGGGCCAACAGGATTTTCAGCGTGCATGGCTCTGAAGAAAAAGCTGAAAGTCCCGATTATTTTTTCAGGGAGGGCTCAAACAGGGATGTACTGAACAGGGATGAGTTGGTGAGCAGTCAGGTACAAAGCAAAGGAAAAATGGAGTGTTGCCCTCAGGGTAGCTGGGTGACACAAACTCCGCAAAGGTGGGATTCTTTACTAAATACCCTGGGGTCAAAAACCAACATCTGACTTGAAGGTTTGCCACTTTTACAAATGAAAAATGTTCACACTGAATATAACTTGTACAGCAGAAGTCAACGAAGTTTACATGTTAAATTGAATTCATTGAAGACTGCCTGACCAACCAAGAAGGATTAGTTAGCTTTTTCTAACTTTTCTACCACTATGCATCAGTGTTTTGCCTGTTTGAGAGCTTCATAAAACTGGAATCATATAGAATGTACTCTTTCAGGTTTGACGCTTTTGGCCAGTCTATTTTTTTGAAATTCATCCATATTCTCATACAGATCAATATGGATCTGTATATTCTTTTTATTGAGGTGTGGCATTCCACAGTAGGAACACACCACGATGTTTCTACCCATTCAACTGTCAACGGCCATTTGGGTTACTCACAGTTTGGGGCTGAGGAAGACTCACGTAGGTCTTTTTGTAGACATTATTTTAATTTCTCTTGAGTAAATGTCTAGAGTGAAATTTCTGGGTCATATGTTAAAGGTATTGTAGCCAATCTGATCTGCTTACAGCGGTACCTTGCTGTGGTTTTAACTGGTATTTCTGTGATGAATAAGATACGTTCAGTATCTTTTAATGTGTTTATTGGTCATTTTCGTATCTCACCATTCAGTATATCTGACAACTTACCTTACATTCTAGTATCTCACAATTCAGTAAAAAGGAGAAAAGAAACCCAACAAAAAATAGTCCAAAAAATTGAACAGAAATTTCCCAAAAGGAGACAAACAAATAATAAATTTCCAATAAGCAAATGAAAAGATGTTCATTATCCATTAGAGTCAATTAAGGGGTTAAAGAGGATACATAAGTTTAAAACTCACCACTTTTTTTGACTGTAGTCTCACAAGCCCTACAATATTTCTATAAACATTGCAATATCCAGAATTAATATAAGCCATGAAAGAAATTATATTTCCACTTTCCACTATCACTGAAAATAAAAAAAAATAATTCATTATTTCACACATTCTTCTCTATAATAAATTATTTTAGACACTACGACAATGAAATACAACACATAATAACTACTCATGATTGATTTCTTAATGGATGCCAGTTTCTAGGCAGTACTTGGCATATGATAAAAATTGCATCTGGTATTTGTACCTGCAACCTGACATGAGGGGAAACATGGACAAGTCCCCCCAGCACAGGCAGCGGAGTGCAGTAACTGTCCGGGCACAAGAGGGGCAGCAGGGTGGGCAAGCCCCGATCGGAGGCGTCTGCTGGCGCCCGTGGTGCAAATATTCCCACCAGGACTGATTTCAAACTGCCAATGGTTTTAACAACTGGCTCCCAAACTGCCTGAATATGTAACTTTTGGCTCCTTAGTTGACTAACTAGAGCCACAGTTAAATGCAAGGTTTTTGAGGCTACGCTGGACTGGTTTCCAACCCTACCCTGCCACTTTGTATGTGACCCCAGACAAATTATACAAATTCTCTGCGCTTCAGGTGTTTCATCTTTAGAATGGCGAAATTAGGAGCCCACGTTCTATACTCCACATGAGTTAATTAAGTTCACAGAAAGTACTTAGCATGATGCAAAATAAATCATGTTATTAATATCATTTTCTGCTCAAATCTGTGAAGCCTCCCTCAGGCCAAGATGTACTTGAAGGTGAGCAGGAAAATACCTTTATAACTATCAATGTATGTATTCAAAAGCAATTTAAATAAAAACCTCCTGATCTATATTTTAAAGTGTATAATAATCTACTTTAAATTATCAACATAATTTAATTGAAATAATAAAATCAATTAGACATATATAAATTAAACTACTATTTCAAATTTACTTTTTGTTCACCCTGAATCATATCAATATTTTTTCTGAAAACCCTAAACATAACAGAGAAAACACAAAGACATATATGTATCTTTCCCGTTACTTTATAAAGTAAATAATATATTCACTTTTCCTTAAAAAAAATTTGATTATTCGGAAGTATTTATTTCACATTATATGAATATATATCAAATGAGAAAAAATTATGGATGTTATTAAAATAATAAGCTAGAGAATAGCATAACTCTAAAAAGTATAGTTAAAAAAAGAACAAGGTAACTATTGGTAACGTAATTTACCATAAACAAAAAATAAATGCTAACATAAAATGAAAAAAATACTTCAAAATAAATCAAGTAGCATTTCAATTATTTTGCTGACATGTTTATTAGAATATATCATCTCCCTTTCCTCATATAATATTCAGAGCTCAAAGTTTATAATAAAAAAATTGAAAGGTTACTCTACTGTCACCAATCATTTATTTTTTTCTTCATTATTATTATTTTGCTTAAATAAATTATTATGATAATGCTGTCTTATACTATGTTTCTTGCAGCCAAACAATGATATTACAAAGCTATCTTAAGATATAAACGGGTAATATGTCAGAATTATGTGTAAATTGTATAGACAAAGGGAAATTTTCTTATAGACCCTACTCTTAAAAGGAAAGCGTATTCTTTTACCGAAAGGTGATATGATGGTAGAGACTGTTTTACTTCTTTCAGTCAACCACTAGGACATGAAGGACGGCGCAGGGCATCCTGGCAGTTGTTACGGGTAAGGGGAGGATGCACTTAACCACCTAGGAAAAAAGCCAATCATTCCTAACCTTCAGCACTGCGTTGCGTCTTTTCTTGAAAGCCATGCCCTCCACAGATCACTGAGAAGCACACACAGTATCAAGCAGGATAAAGACCTCATGTGGAAGGCAAGGCAACAACGCAAAAGCCAACCACTGCAGCAAAACCTACGAGGCCGTCTGGTTCCACGGAGCAGAGAGCTGCTGCCTGAGTAAGTGTCTGTGCTGTTTCTAATAATCAGTGCAAATGTTTATCTGACTGAAGACGATACAGCAAGCCTCTTTCCATCTAGGTCAGCAGTCTGAGTTTAATGACATTCCCAAAAATGTGTTATCACCACACTTAAGAAATTTTAAATATTACAATTTGTGACTAGAAAAAAAATCATACCAATTCCCTTAAAGACTCAACACTGCCCCACTGTGTCTCCTGGTTTGACTCATTCAGCCTCTGATCTGACTCCCATTACAAAGAACGTGTAACAGTGATGTCAAGATAAATGTCATCTCCTTACCCCGTCCTCTGGGGTTACAGAGAAAAGGACAAACAACATAAAGATCCAAAGGATTATAACACAATTTTAATTGAAAAGATTTAGCCATGGGCTGTATAGCTAAAGCTTTATTTATTATTATTTAAAGGTCATATTCATTAATGTTCAGGAAATAGAGATGATTTATATTCAAAAATTAGGTTTTAAAGAGTCTCATCAAAACTCAAAGCCATATTCAAAGGCCTGAAAGCATCAGACCCTTATGAAAACAACAAACTAGATATTATCTTAAAGGTAAATAATAAGAAGAAGGAAACTGAATATTCATAGAAACTAAAAATCGGGCATTGTCATTTTTCTTTCTGTCGTTTATCACATGCCAGGAAATAATCACAAGTCTAATAAGACTATTTTATTCCTATTTTCAGATCCTTGGAAGAAGTCACGATAAGAAGCACAGCTCCTTCCTGGCTGTGGGCATCAGCACCAGGACAGCGGAGGTCTCAGGTTCAATAGACTAGTTAGTGATGAGGCTGCTAAGGGACATCTTCTCCACTAAAGATAAACCCCAGCCCATTACCTAACAGACTAACCCACAGTGCTGGAGAGCAGTACATCTGAGCGGCAGTAAGACTGATGCCGCTTCCAGCAGGACATGCATCAGCTGAGTGGGTACCAGTTCTCCTTGGGAGACTAGAGTACGAGAAACAGAACAATATAAAAGAAGAGGACCATTGAACGCTGTTTGAACTTCATTCCCATTTGGGGACATTTATCTGAACATGGATATATTAGTTTGCTTTTACAATGCTGTTAAGAGAGACCTTGGTTAGAAAGGGGTTTGCATTTACTGAGTATTTCTCTAAGTGTCCATACTAAAGAAACTTTAAACCATATTAAACACTGCTTCTTCACTATTAAGAAATGCATATTTATAAGCAGATAAATACCATGTACGGCTCAGTAGAGATACATCCTGAACAGAAATGCATATCAAAAGAATTGATCATTAATTATCGAACTTCCAAGTATAATATGCCTCCTGAGTTCATTAAAACAGGTCACTCTTGTAAAGAATATCTACATATCTAAGATATCCTCACGTTTATCAAGTACCTGCCACTTTGCATAGGAAATGAAACATAAGTCAGAAGTGGACATCCACTAAAGCCTCAGAGGGCCATCTTCTCGGGGGTGAACTAGGAAAAGCCATCTCACAGAGACCCCCTGGGGGTATCTTTCTCCCTGGGCCTGGTGTTGAACAGAATGGAAAAAGAAAAAAAAAAGTCGCTCTGAAAATTATTAACCATAGCTCGAGGTACTGGGGCTAGAATCCACACCACTTGTGAGACACTAAACACTCATTTTAACTTATGGTGTGTTTTTGCAACTCTAAATACCCAGAAAAAAGGAAAACAAACTCCTTCTAAATGAATTAATGTTCATTCTAAGCTTCAAGGAATTCCCACACATATAAAGATACTGTAAGCTCTCGACAGGGTATATACAGCCATCCTCCCTTACCCGTGGTTTCACTTGCCACAGCTTCAGTGGGGTGCTCAAGATTTTTAAGCCCCAAGGAAAAGTAACGAGCAAGTGTGGGTCCAGTGTCAGATCCACAGAGCTTCCTTCTGTGCAGGGGCCGTGGGTCACCAAAGAACTTAGGTGACACTACCAGTGATGGAGAAGATACTAGGCAGACAGAAACATTTTAAATCACACAGGAGTGCATGATGACCACCTTCCAAAAATATTTCTGATTCACTGATAACGCCCTCCCTTTTTTCTAGCACTGAGACGAACCTCGACAGACACATATAGGAGGACGGTTAAACAGACAGATAGGTGTATACATTTCATTTCAATGAGACAGTGTGTGTTAGGAGGAGTAAGCAATTATGTTTAGCCTGACATTCGGAATCAAAATTGTTTTCAGTTGAAAGGCAAAATGTCCTTATCTCATAGTGTTCTTTAGACATCATCTAACTTAACCTGCAAGCTACAGTGCTTTATAAATAGCACCAAATTAATAGAAGAAAATTATTTTCATATCTGTGTAGAAAAAAGTTCTTAAGTTTTCACCTGACAATCATATGTTTTAATCACAAATCCTAATCATGGTAATTGTCCCTTTAACAATGATGCACTGATTAGCTACTTCATTCTGACACAACCTGAGTATCTACACTGATTTCAGTCATTTAAGCAGCATTATTTTGGATATGAATAAGCACACACTAAATAGACTGGCCCAAGGAAGTACATGGTAGTATGATGCATTTATCATTTGTACCTAGTATACATGACAATGAAAGATATTCGTTATTTCAGAGAATTATTTACTTCATTAGTTTCACAATAACTAATTTTGATTCAAGAGATATTCCCCTAAGTATTGCTTAAAGTAATCTGGACCGGTGTGGGTAAAACATTTGCATAAAGAGATTTATTTTATTACATGCCTTCAGAACACTAGTTATTTACACTGAAATTAGTTCAATAACTTTATAGGATATTTATGCAAAATCATACTTCAGTACACCTCCTGATGATTTAGCCTTCAGTTTTCTGCACAAAAAAAAAGTGTGAGAATTGTTTTTAATATTTTAGCATTTTCAAAACAAGTTAAAAAGCTATAAGTCCCATTTCCATTCTTAAAAGTGGAATATTAATGCTTTTCTTATTAGATTTTATTAACTCTTTCATATTAATCCTCTTTTATATTATTTATTGATTATCCTGAAACTTGTTTTTTTCTTAATCTCATTACTTTTACACTCAAAATAAACTGTGTAGCCATATTTTCTTCCTATTGTCCTTTCTATTTTTAACTTAAATAATCCA